TGTTCGTACAGTTAATTTATCTCAATCGGTAGTTCAATGGCCAAAAATAACGTTGCCAATTTAGTACTATTTTTTGTATACCTTTTTTTACTTCACTATTATTTCTTTTATTTTTGTTTTTTTATTTTTTTCCAAAGCTCATTTTCAATTTTATTCGCTTTACAGTTATGCACTAACTTGTTTATCTTCATCACTAAGCATATGTATGTTTGTACAATATATACTTTTACATATATCGTCTTTAGCGTGTATGAATACCCTCATTTAAGACTCTTATCACATTTACGACATCAACCTGTTGTTGTGTTTGAGTGGAGTCAATATTTGTTAAATTTACCATTGGAAAGTGTGACTAAATTTCTGTTGCTGGTGTTTTTTTAATGAATCATATTTTTTTGGTAAACTTTTAATTAGTAAAAAACAAGTTAAAAGATAACATTTTGGTGTCATAATTGATAAATTGCTTGGAAGACGTCAGAAGATTGTACTAAGATTTTTTGTAGAATGACTATGATGAGTACTTTGTTCCGACACGTCACTATAATGAAGTCCGGCAAGGTCGTTCTGAGCATAATTATCTCTCAGAGAGAGAGATAACATGTGCAATGAGTTTTTGGTGTTAGTATACGTGTGTATTTCCTCTACGGCGAGAAGAGCTTTACCACTATAGTATTGATTTCGGGCAATCGACTGCGGCGACGTGCTCGAAAAAACTCAATACGGCCACTTTTAGCAGCAATTTGCGGCCGTCTCTCTCACCTGTTATAGTGTCATAAGGATAGTGTATCTGACATCGAAGAAAATGGAGCTTTCCTGATTAAAACAAACGATATTAAGCAGACACGTAGAGTCACAAGGCGTACCATCCAAAGATTTCTGCAGGAGTTAAAAAGATACTTTTAGAACTATAGAACGGAAGGTGTAATTTTACAAAATAAGCCATGGGCACTGTTTATATTTAAAGAATATGTAACACACTACAGTACTTTAAGCCCTCCAGTGCAGAGTGGTATCGAACCTTGTGGCGCCATAATTTAGTATAACACAACCCAACCAATTTCCCATACATCAAAATCAAAATCTATTGGCTGAATACAGCATAAATCAAGCACAACCTCATCACATGTCTATAAATCGTAAAATAATTTTATATGCGCAAACGTCTTCAACGCCAATCGAAGTTGAAGATTTCGCCCGAAGAAAGGTGTGTCGTCGTCGTCGTCGTTTTGCCGCCATTAGCATTTAACATAAAGCATTTACCACCATCGCCGCCGCCGCCGCCACCGACACGTTCCGACTTTTCCTCATTGCAGCCAATTTGTGGCCAATTGTTTGGTATTATACTCGTACAACCGTACAAATTTACTATGCTCTATGTACTCTATGTACATACATATGTATGTACTCGTATACTGATATTGAAAACTAACCGCAACGCTTGGCTGACTAATTGACTAATTGACTAAGTGACTGGCAAATCGCATAGCTGACTAACAGCAAAGTCTTTCCGACTAGCTGACGATCTAACGCTATTAACACCAGGAAAATTATATTTCCTCTTTTACTACTTTTTTCCTCACCTTCTGTCGTGCCCATATCCCGGTCTCGGCTGCTACCCCAGCTGCGCTCATGTGCATAATATTATTATTATTATTGTATTTTTATAGCACAAAGCCTTGCAACTATTGTTTATATGTTAAGTAGAGTTTTCCACCTAGCTATCTGCCTACGCGTCAGCAGTCAAGTTGGCAGTCTCTGCACCTCTATCTTACTTTGACTATCTTGTCAGCTGCTGCTGCTGGAGTGGCTGCAATTGCTATTGCAAATCGGAGTGGTGGGCAATATTATTGAGCAATACATTCAGTATGCATATATTTATCTGGGAGACAAACATACATACACATGTAAGTAAGTAGACACACATATGCTATCCATTCGTCCAATTATCAATACTTCCAACCATCCATCCATCCGTCCACTCAGTTCATCCATTCAATCTGCGACTATGCTTCGACGGTTGGCTGATTGGTTGCGTATCTTCTTGATCTGACTGCGGTTGATGTTGTAAACTCAGCCTACATACAAATAGTAGTTATTGTGCATTTGCCCCATAAACATTTTGGTTTGAGTTCAACTCGAGTACAAGCTAGAACTCTAAACACTCGAATATCGAGCAGTGCGAGCAGTTCGAGTTCGTATCTAAACAATATCGAGGAATGAGCAATGAACAAGTGTGCGAGTACTCGTTGTTGAAATACTCGAATCGTTCAAAAATGGTCCAAAATTTGTACCCAATTCCCAACTTGAGTTAAATTCAAATCTTAACTGAAGAAAAATATTATTTTCAACTTGCACTCCCGCCAGTAATCTTTTCGGCGACCTAGGATCGGATCATTTTGCTGATAAAGACAGTTTTGTGTCAAGAAAATTAGCGATTGATCCTTGAAAGTCTGCTTTACACATTTGCTTGAAATATACTGCAGTGGATCAAGTGTTTCCTTGGCACATTCCAAATTTAAATTCGCCTTGTCAGTGTCAGTGTGAGATGCGGGTAACGTGTTCTTTGTGTTTAAGAAGCAGCGACTATTCCGTCCCTACGCTAATCACTCGCTCCTTGTACGGGATGCAGTACCTAAAGGCCATACATCCTTTACAACCTTCAATACGCCCAGTGGCTTGTTCCTAGCTTCATGAAACTCTGTTAGACTCTAGAACCAGCCATCGATTTTTCCTCTGCTGTTTTACTGTAAAAAAACATGGTTTGGGTTACAGGCGGATGTAACCGTGCTTTGGATATTCGAGTGGAAAATAATTCGGTCCCACTCAAATTGAGGAATACTATCATACTCGAATGAACCATGAGCTGAATATATATTGTTCAATTCAACACTTTAGGCAAAGAGATGTTGTACATGTGGACGAAGAAGTTCCAGCGAAGTAGTTGCTAAGCGAGAAGACCGATGAGGAATGACGTAGGCGGGCGCTATACAGAGACACCGGACGAGAACTGTAAAGGCCAACAATAGGTTGTAATGGTTACCTGAGTAAGTTTCAATGACCTCTGAACATTATACCAAAGCTCTACTCGTTCGCTCATGTTAGAGTCATCATCTAACTCTCTAACCATCCCTCGCCCTCCATCGTAGCTGTAGGGGCACTGTCAAAGCCAAAGACCATCTCGTATATTTTTCAATTGAGAACAAACTACTATGAGCATATGAGTAAGTGCGAAATCTTAGTTGGCTCGAAGCCTAAAACCCCATGGCAGTCTTATGTGATACTTGCTTAGCTATCAGATTTGAGTGGGCTATAATATGGACCACAGGAAGTCGTACTTATGGTGTGGTCTTTGAGGTACCGGCAACAATAAACACTAAGGGTTGGAACCAGCTCCCTGCCATTAAGCCTCCACGCGTTAGCGAGTTTACTGGGTTTACACTGAGTCTTATTGTTTTTTTCATCGCTTAAATGTTGCACAACTATTTATTTGTTGCACTGATTTTCCATTTAATTGTACCTTTTTGCTGTTTCTTTTATTGTAAATGATTTTTTTATGTTGCTGAGGCTGAAACAAAAAAAAAATTTAAGCTTGCGTCTCCTTTAATATTATTGAAATCTTCTTTAGTTAATGAAAACTTTTCACCATCCGCTTCGGTTTGGTTTCTTGTCAGATTTCCTGCGCCTTTCGAAACGAGTTTCTTGGCTCTCTTTTTTTTTTGTTCAGCTCAACGCAACTTGTTACGTTTTATCATGTTCGAACGCCCATGAAAATGTCATATTCACATAGTTATTAGCGTTTCTGCGTTGTTTAAGGTTCTTATTATCATAAACTGGCTGGAATTATTGAACTGCAACGTGTTCGGGCTTGTAATGCTTGTAAACTGTTGCTGAGATTATTTTGAAAGGAAGAACAGGGCATTTTGCACGGCTGTTCTTAACCTTGAAAATAAGTTGCGTCGAAGTGGTAGTTTAGTGGTGGAGAAAGGAAAATATATTGCAGTTTTATGTTTCCAAAAAAAAGTCGACCTTTATATGTGCAGGAGCATGAGCCTGAGCTGTTATTGTGGTAATAATTATTATAAAGTTATTTTATTTCAATGAATTGGGTTTCCCTTAATTAAAATTTCTAAAAACTTGATTTTTTTCCAAGAATAAAAGCAATGAAGGAGTTTTTTTTTCTTTTATTCAATTTTAGCTCTTCCTATTGAGGCACATATTTTTCTGAAAGCGAAATCAAGTTTGGATTTTCTATCTAAATTAGAAGCAGAGTGCCCACCGAAGCCCACCAAATACTTATGAAAGTTTATGGCAAATCTTCGCCATCAGATAAGCCATGTAGTGAGCGGCTTCCACGCTTTGAAAGTGCTGATTTAAGCTTCACAGACAAAAAGAGTTGTGGCCAACCGAAAAAGCTTGGAGATAAGGAATTGGAGACTTTAATAGATGAAGATCCATGCTAAATGCAAACTGAACTCGCAGAATCACTGGCAGTGGCTCAGCAAGCAATTTTGCTTCGGGAAAAGTAGTTTGAATTTATTCCATAGGAAGGAAATTGAGTGCCGCACGAGTTAAAACCGAGAGATGACGAAAGGTGATTTTTAACTTCGGAACCGCATCTCGGATGATGTCAAAGGAATTTTTTTTTGCACCGGATCGTAACTGAAGATAAAAAGTGTTTCTGCTACAATAACCTCTTGATCGAGAAAACACGAAACGTGGCCCGCATGACTATAACGGCGAAAAACTACCTGGAACACAATGAAATAAGGATCGAATTAATTTGTACTCCCATTAAAATGCTACAAATCTATCTTGAGAATTAAGAATCTGATATTAATCATTTTCCTTTGTCCTTTTTTTAAATTCACCATTTACCATCTTTAATTCTGAATATTGCAAACAATTAAAATAATAATATTCAACAAAAATTTTTTCTAAAAAAAAATTGAAAACTCAAAAAAAAAAAAATTAAAAATTAATTTTAAAAGTGCATAACTTACCTTTTTAAAATCCTCTATTAAGCTTGTAGTTTTGTTTGTTTATTTATTTTTTAATGTTTAGTATTGATTAAAGCACTTGGAAGACATCACATGTACATATGTGGTTTCAGAAAATATAAATATAAATCGCCCAAAGACAATGGGAATCCAAGTTTCGTGTGATTATTTTTATTATATTTTTTTTTTGCTTGTTAGTATCTCAAACTTTACAACAAATTTATAGTTATTTTTTATGCCTTCTCAGCATCTTTGATTCGCAGAAACATCGTTGGGAAGTTATTAAAATATATATAACTTTTGTTAATTTTAGTTATTCTTTCACTCCTTATACGCGCCAAAAAAAATTCTTTACTAATTTTTCATTCTAATATAATTATCGTTATTTAATCATTATCGCAGCAACACTCTTTCGTGTAGTTTTGTTTTTTTCTATCAATAATATTATTATTTGTTTTTTTTCGTTTAACGAATTCTATAATATCCGGATTCACATAGAACACGCGACGACCAGCGCTCTTTCGCAACGCCAAAAACAAATAAATAATAGACTACACGCCGTAACCGAAATTTCCTTGGTGAGTTAGTAAGAAATATGGAAGAAATAATAATCATGGAAGAAAATCGCTAATGAATTTAGCAAATTTTTGACTCGCTCCTTGTCCAGTTTTGTTTTTGTTTTTTTTTTGTTTTCTTCGCCGACTTTTATGCTGCTTGAATGAATGAAAAATTGCCGCACATTGCTCAGAGCAAATAATTAAATTTTTATATAATTTTCTCTTTCTTAATTCGCTTAATCATTTATCATTTCTACTTTGATACGTTAATTCGCGAGAATGAAGTCAGCGCAACAAATTTGCATACAAAGTTTTGTATTGTAGATATGTATGTACGATTATTACAGCATTCTGTGCTAGCAGAAAGTAATCAAGTTTAAGTTGAAGTATTAGTTTTTAATTATTTTTCAATTTGCACAAGCCATATAAATTGATTATTTATTTTAAAATTTTTGAGTTTCGCTTTAAATATTTATTATTCAATTACACTTCGTCTACCTTCCATGCCGTCGTATCGTAGTTGAGTTAAAAAAAATATTTATATCGTAAAATGCGTTGGTTGTAAACAAAAATATTATATTTGAATTTGAATACCGACAACAACAGCACAGTATATGCGCGCGTTTCAGCCGATCGCCAATGAGACTACGTCACACAAACGAAAGAGTCAAAACGAGACTGAATTCAGCATGAGCATTTCGCAAAACTTTACGAGTAGACAACTCATTCGGTTCGTTTGCGTTTTGGATCCACTTGGCGGGCAATCGCGTTTGTGCTGTGTGTTGGTCATGGAGCCGGAATGGAGCTATAAAGCCAGCGTACTTGTAAGTAAGTAGCGAAGTAGCGAAACGTTGTAACTTTTGATCTATTGAGATTTACAGTTGCGGTCATTCGCTAGAGATGCTGATAGAAGAATAAAGTATGAAAATAATGTGCTTTGAAAACTTTAATGACAAAACATAAAAAAATATATAAAAATGACTCAAAATTATTAGAAGAAAAGTAGTCGTACAAATTTTCAGCTGTATCTAATATTTTGATAGTATTTGACCTAGAAACTATGGGCAAACGAGGACATTATTTCGCAAAAATTGTCAACTAAGACAATGTCTTGATTCGTTAAAAAGTCCCAGAAACTAAAAATATTGAGGAGGCGCTACTTAATATAATACTTACCTTCAAAACATGGAACGTTTACTTCGATAAGGTTTAAAAAACTTGAACATTTAGTACAAATTATACTCCGAAATGTTTTTTGTTTTATTCGAACATAAAAGCTGTAAAAAGAAAACTTCGAAAACCCCATCCTACCACGACAGTTACGGCACTTAAAATGAAATTAAGACCTTGATGATATGAACAACCACCTGATATCGTATATTGGCAGTTGTTCTCAATACAATTTGCTCGTTCCAAAATTGATGTCTCTTGACCAAAAAACCTCAGGTATAGGCATCACTCAAAATTTTTTCAATTAGGAATGACACCAATTTGGTCATAATTTGTGAGGAATCACGGGTACATCTATATCACATGAAATCTTATCCTAAGCATCCCATTAGAAGAGCCAAGACAAAAAACATGCCAAATGCCATTTCATCCTCCCAGAAAGTCCATATTATATATGTCGTCCTATCGTTAGCTCCCTCCCGCCCAACTTACCGAGAGATAGGAGGATGAGAGTGTCTGATAAGCGAGAAATAAATGCAACAGAATAGTCACAAAAACCCAATGAAAGTACGAATTGTACAGAACTTGTTGTTGGAAGGTTGCGAATATCCCTTTCGTATCCAATTTTACTATACCACTATTCATTAGTCATTAATTATTTGTATTTCATAAATGTTTATAAAATAGCCACCGTATTCATCACACCCCTTGCGAGCAAGATTGAAGAGATAAAAACCGAATCGCTTAACACCTGAAATACATGCCAGAAAAAAGTACTCAGAACTGTATCGAGAATTGAATGAGGATTTGATATCAGAAATAATTAAAAAAAAATATTTTTTCGAGAAAAATGAGAATTCACCAAAGGTGAATTTTTCAAACATATCGATTTTTACTCAAAGACATATTTCTTTTTTCATTTTTTTGTGTAGTTTGTTGTTTATTTTTCTAAGCTTGCTATATTTAATATTAAAATTTGGTATTAATTTTATATTGTCAAAAAACAGACAACCCTAAGAAATATCATCACTATCAACAAGCAGGCCAGCACTGTGAGATTTTTTGAGTACACAGAGTAAAGCGCAACACCTGAGAGAAGTGCCAAGAGCTAAGCTTGCGTTAGTGTGGGGCATGTCCATAATTACCTGAACCGGTTATTGACTTACACTGGAGTTTTATTAGAGCAACAAAAGCAAATAGCAATATTTTGCACATACTAACACTTAGACAATTTGAACACTCTCTCTCTCTCTCTCTGTTTTTTGAACTCTCAACCCATTAGAAGCAGTAAAGCCAAAGCATTTACTCTTTTTGCACCAAATAATGCCATCATAAAACATAACAAATTGGTTGCATACTTGTTTGGTGTATACGTATGGTTGCACGGGTGGGCAAGCTACTCCCACTCCCACTCGCACTCGCGTTTGTTATGCTCACTCATACAAATGCAAGAGGCTCATTCTCAAATTTGTTGATTTTTTTTCATTTTAGCGTCCGCTGTCTTTCCTTTGCGCTATAGTGATTCGGCCACCCTCTTCAAAAGCTGCACACAAGAATAGAGATCCATATATTTAGTTGTGTGTGGATTTGTTATAAAAACAAATAGTTATACACTAAAAAAATGATGTTTAATTAAGAGCATAACAATCTGTGGGTATGAACATACTTAAGTATGTATATGTATGTGTACAGTGCTTCTCTATGTGTGAAGTGGCGCGATCAGCGTTGAGGTCGTTCGTAGACATTTGCTGAAGAATATGAAAATCAAAATAAAATATGAAATAAAATTTGAAATCAAAACAACAACGTTAAATACTTCAATATTTTTTTTTTTAATTTAATTTTTTGTTTTGATTGTTGTTTTGTTACTTTTTATTGACTGTTCTGTCTTCTGTTGCTTTTTCTTTGCTACACAAAATTTTAGAAAATTCTGTTTGACTGCTTGTAGAAGTTGCGGCAGCAACTCAATTCGTTCGAACCCCACGCATTTTTATTTGTATATATGTACGTGTATGAATGTATGTATGCACATTTTTAATCTTTCAAAATAGGCAAGAAGAAAGCCATAAAGAAAAACGTAAATCCAGCAGTAAAAGTGCAGCAAAGTTGTTGGTTGAACTGTTGAACTCTCTGGTTCTGGTTACTGCTTTATTGTTGTTTATTTTTTGTTTTTTGTTTTTTTTTCGGTCTTCGCTTCTTGAAGCAGTTATCGTACGTGGGCAACAATATAATTAATTCGATGCCTTAAATTACTGCTGACAATAACGAGGCTCGGCTCAGTACGGTTGGTCCGCTGCTACTTTGCCTTTCCCCCAAACTTGTTTTCTTCATGTCACTTTTCTATTTTTCTTCTAATTTTTTATTACTTTAATGTCAATAAGCTATTTGTATGCTGGTTTTATCTAAGTTACATTTGGGGAATTGTGTGCAAACATACATACATTCATATGTATGTATTGAAGGTAATACTGAGCCTCGCCTGGTGCGAGCTTGAGAACTTTAAAACCCTTCTTCGCTTAACACCTGGGAAACCAAAAAAAAAAATAAATAAATAAAAAGAATTCATTTTGTACTTTGTGGGAGTAATTTTGTATTTATTTATCGATTTATTTATTATTTGTTTATATATTGATAATGCATAATGGATTGTTTTCTATTTATCCAATCAGTGGCAATAGAAATTTTGTAGGTTATGTCAAGAATTTATTGTCTTGCTAATCCTTATTTACATACCACTTGAAAAGGCAGTTCTTGACTTTAAGTATTTTTGTCATTTAAAAAGTTGTCCATATAATTATATTGATCATTAAATATATTCTACATTATCTTCTCCAACTGTTCTGCTTGAGTTGAGCTGAGTTGATACACCTGCTGATCAGAGCGACCAGCCTACTTGGGCCTGAAGGAGAACAGGGATACGGCTGCGGTGTTCTTATCATATTCCCAGATGTACGAACCAAGCTTGTGTGCCTTTCTCTACATTGTCTCTACAGCAAAGATAAAATTCATTCGAACAGTGTCCCATTTTCCTACTGTGAAGCCTTATTAACATTGTCCAGGTAGTATACCAGTTGTTATATTGATGATGTACAGGTCTAGAAGGGTTAGATTCCTTGACCTAGTTAAACTCTTTCGTTAAGCCATTCGATGTTGGCTTTTTTAGTGTAAGTCAGTTTAAGCCTGAGTGTTCTGCTCAGTCTTCGCACTAAAGTCTACCCTTGCAAGGGTTTTTTCAATCGTGGAAACAAAAAAACATTGCATCTGGTGAATGCGGAGACCAATGCATTATTATCACTTCTTAGTAAAGTAGGTGCACCGGAAGCGTAGTATAACTGATCCGTTAGATAATACTTCTTATTAACTGCGAGAACTCTTTGGGATCGAAAGACGTCATACGACATTTAATCTCAGAGGTGCCTAATAGGACAGCACGCAGATATGCGGAAAGAATGTGACTGTACTTCTTTGAGCAGAACCAAGCTCCGATATTTAGTAACTGTCTTCCTTAGTGATTCATCTAAGGTAGCAGACGACAAAATAAGCTAATAAGCTGATGAAATTTCATATCTGATATTGATAAGCTGGGCCATCGCAACAGCCGAATGGTTAGCATTACATACTAACATTCGGATGGTTTAGGTAATATCCAAAATAATTGACAACGCCGCCCCTCGGCAGAGAGTACGAGCTCACCGAGTGTATTTCCGACATGAAATAAAGTCTTCTTTTATTAATACTTCGCCGTTCGGAGGCGGTTTAGTATAAAATGTAGTTTAGTTGGTGGAAAAACGTCAAGGCCCAAACTACAAATTGGAGGAAAAACAACGGTTGCAAACTGCCATTTATATGGTTTATGTTGATTAGCTGAAGAGTTCAGCTTGTATATGAAAGATTCCATAATATAGTAACTCGATAAAGCATGATAAAGACTGTAAGCAATTTAGGTTTTATAGGAAACAAAATACTACTA